TTAGTATTTTTGTGATTCCTTGCTGCCAAATCGCATAATTGACGTTATAATCACAGGGCAATCAAGAAAACGGTGAAAGGATTTGCAAGGCCACAACTTGATTTGAGTAAAAAAGCATTTGCGAAAGTGATGGATGATGCATTTGGAAGAAAATTTGTACCTCCGTTTAACCCATATGCCAATTCTTTCAATTACCTCATTGCTTCATACTTGGTCCCTTATGTTGGTCTTACCGGCTACGTTGGCGCTAACCCTAAACTCCAGTGTCCCGAATCAAGGAAGGTAACAAATCTAAAATGCTCTCTTGCCTTCGATTTGGTATATAATCTCATTTTATAACTAGAAACCTAGGCTCTACGTATTTTATATTATAAGAAATCCATATCGAAAAAATATAGTGTCATTAAGCTTTTATAAAATCAAGAATATACGTTTCATCACATCAATACGTTTTTTTTTTTGTTTTTTTGATGAAATTTTATTGATTTTGAGATAAATGAATATCATAAAATTTGATATTTTTCTTTTCGAACTATGTCTAAAGTTTCGTCAAAGGACAAAGAAATCTTTGATATATTCAGAATCTTCTATTGAACAAAACGGAGTAAATATAACTATACATAGGTTATGAAATGAGATTTTGTAAATTTCCACATCATGCATACATGATGTTAACTTACGCAAACGTTCTCCAGTTAGTAGCAGGACTTTTGGGAGTAGAATCGGGTCAGGACGCGGTGATAAGAACAATGCTATATGCGAGAGCAACACACATAGTCCATCCTTATGGTGTCACAGTTGCGGCTTTCACAGATAGGATCTCAGATCTAAGGAACAAGTTGGGGAAAGCAGGTGTGAAAGATGAAGGGTTGGTCGTGCCTAGAGCCATGGGTGCGGAAGGACAAGTGGCCGGGAATGTATTGGTTGGTGATAAGTTGTCGCTTGCTTTTGATCGAACTCCGGAGGAGATTCTACGGATTGTGTATGGAAGTGGAAATGAAAGTGTTCCCGGTGGATTTTATCCTAAAGGAGCTGATGGAGAAATTGCCAAGTCTTATTTGGTTAAGTAATGGTATTGTTGGGAATGAGGTTTAGTTTTAGTTGGGGTTTTAATTTCCTTTGTAGTTCTTAATTAGGTTTTTGGGGTTTATAGTCAATTAAACAAAAACAATTGTCGTATTAATTTAATAAAAGCTGTAATAAATATTTAGACTATTCAAGAATCAAAATCTTTCAAATTTCTAATATGTAGTAAAATGTTCCAAGGTAACATAGAATTCCTATATCATGAATGAAGCTTGTTTGTGTTAATTGATGAGCATTTGAAATTAAAATATTATGGCAGAAGTTGTGGGAAAAGAATAGAGCAGTCAATTTTTTTCCGTTTATCAATGTGTCTTCTTAGCTAGTTTTTAATGAAAGCCTTCATATAATCTAATGACTTGTTCTTTCTGTGTGCATCCTTGCTCTGTAGTTTCAAGTCATTAGAAATTGGTTTAAATTTTTGTTTGTACTTTATTTTTACAGGGAGATAAAGCAGGCAAAAAAAAAAAAAAAAGGGTATGAATCTCACGTAGGCAAGTTTTTCAAGAAGCCTCTTGTTTTTGACCTTGTTTTTCTTTGGTTGGATCGAGTAACTAAGATCTACGATATTTCTAATGAAATACTCGTCGCGTTAGGTATTATCAAAAAGACCCATAATCTTCGCTATTTATCGGAACACTCAATAAATTTTTGTACAGATACACCCAAATATTCATGTTAATTATAGAGTTACCCTAGGAATATATGTTAGTATTTGCAAATAGAGATACTTAGGAATGTTGCAGTCCAAAAAAAAAAGAGATACTTATGTTAGTATTTGCAAAAACACCTGAATTTTTAGTACTTTACCATAATACCCCCAAAATTTTTAGCATTTGAGGATTCTCAATCTGTGATTCTTTTCAAATTCAATAATACCTAATGTCTTCGTACATATTTGCCAATGTACTAGTCTTTTTCCTGCAATGAATTCTTGCTTTTTTTTTTTTTTTATTTATATCGAAATACCATGGATTGTTTGTGTTGAGTAATACCTATTTTGGTTCTCAAACCAAACTAAAGAAATCTATAAAACTAAACTATTGCCTTTATCAAATGGAGTTGTTGTAACAGTGAAGAAGTGATTGTTAGTAGTTTGTAAAACTAGAGCTAAGGCTAGTGTTTGTTGCTGTAGGAATTAGTACAATCGAAGAGTAGTTGCACCACTTTCTCTATAAAGATGTAAGAAAAAACGTTGGCAAGAACATGGTAAAATAAATCAAGTTTGATGTTGTTAATTTTTCTAAAAACTCAAATTACTTTCAAACAAAAGAAATACAAAAGAAATACAAATTGCTTGAAAATGATCTTCTGTTATCTTGAGAAGTCTAACAAAATATCAGAGTTCATGTTGATTCATGGAGCCTCTTTGAACAAGAAAGTAGTTGTGGACCAAGAAATTTCAGAAATGAAGAAAGCCAAGGTTAGAGAAACCAAGGCGATGGTTCAAGAAACCAAACAGAAGAAAGAAGTCTGCATACCTAAGAGTAAATGAGAGCAAAAGCTGGTTGGAAAATCAATCAAAGAAGACGTGAAGAAGATTCACGCAAGACCTAGAGGAGGCATGGAGAAGCCTCAAGAGAAAGAGGAAGAAAATCACATGTTCACTGCCAAACAAGAAGAAGAAGAATCGAGTGAAGGAAGCACATGGCTCATCGACAGTGGGTGCACAAACCACATGACTCTTAATGAGAAGATGTTTATCAAGATCAACACAAACATAAATGTTTCAATAAGAGTTAGAAATGGAGCTGTGTTGGTCTCAAAAGGAAAAGGAGATATTGAAGTAACAACTAAGAAAGGCAAGAGAATCATAAGAGGTGTTTTCTTTTGTGCCTAAACTTGGCAAAAACCTGTTGAGTGTTCCACAAATGATCACAAATGGATATAAAGTCACCTTTCAAGGAAGCAACTGCTTCATCCACGGTCGTACTGAGAGAAATAGGAGAAGTTTAGATGGTGAACAAGAGCTTTCACATCAAATGAAGAAACTGCAATGGTGGCTCAGAATGAAATTGCAGAGTTATGGCAAAGAAGGCTTGGACATACATGAAACTCAAATCTGAAAATGATGCAAACCAAAGAGATAGTAGTGGGCTTACCTAAGTTCAACATGAATCGAGAAGGATATGATAGCTGTCTCCTCAGCAAACATAGCCGCGACTCATTTCCAAAAGAATCTGAAACGAGAGCAAAAGAAAAGCTTGAGCTGATTCATAACGACATATACAGACCAATGCAAAACACTTCTTTCAGTGGCAGCAGGTACTTACTCACTTTTATTGATGATGCAACAAGAATGGTTTGGATTTATTTCTTGAAAGCTAAATCACAGGTTTTTCAAACCTTCAAAAATTTCAAAAATCTTGTTGAAAATTAAGCTGGCTGCAAAATCAAGAAAATTAGAATAGAGAGAAGGACAAGAATATTTGTCTGGAGAATTTACAAGATTTTTGGAAGAAATTGGTATTGAAAGACAGCTTACATCAGTGTATTCTCCACAACAGAATAGAGTCTCAGAGTGAAGAAACCGAAGCTTAGTAAAGATGGCCAGAGCAATGATCAAAGCCAAAGATTTGCCTCTAAAATTTAGGGCCGAAGCTGTTTACTCTGCAGATTATGTTCAAAACAGCCAACCAGAACCCTTAAGAGCAAAAAACCGCTTGAAGCCTGGAATGGAACAAGACCATCTGTAAAGCACATGAAGGTGTTTGGATGTGTATGTTATGTACACATACCAGATGAAAAGAGAAAGAAGTGGGATGACAAGTCAAAGAAGAGAATATTTATTGGGTACAACTCCCAAACAAAAGGGTTTAGAGTGTACTTGCTGAAATAAAACAAGATTGACATTTGCAGAGATGTTATCTTTGATGAAAGCAGCAAATGGGACTGGAACAAGAAGGAAGTAATCAATCACGTCAACATAGCACCAGAACCGGATGTTATAGATGAATGTCCTAGAGCTGATGAGTCAGATTCAAGCAATGACGAATTCACAGAGAGAAGAGACACTCAACCACGTTTCTCAGGTCCTCATTTTGACAGCCCCAGAGGAAGCTCAAGTCAACCCAATAGAAAAACTCGATCACTTGATGACATCCTCCTCACTGCTCCATACACTAACATTGAATTCTCTGCAGTTAGTGAAGGATGTTACTCGATTTTTGAAGAACCATCATTCTTTGACGAAGCTGCTAAACATGCATAGTGGAGAGAAGCAATAGAAGAAGAGATACAAATGATAGAAAAGAATCAACCATGAGAATTAGTCAAAAGGCCAGCAAACAAAAATGTGGTTGGGGTAAAGTGGATATACATGCTGAAATTGGATACAAAAGGAAATGTTTTAAGGTACAAAGCAAGGTTAGTGGCAAGAGGGTTCACTCAAAAGTATGGTTTTGATTATCTGGAGACTTTTTTTCTCTGGTTTCTAGACATGAAACAATTCAGATGCTTCTTGCTGTTGCAGCTCAAAGGAGATGGAAGATGTTTCAGCTCGATGTTAAGTCACCATTTCTGAACAGAAAACTCAAAGAAGAGATATACGCTGAAAAACAACTTGGATTTGAAGAGGAAGGAAAGGAAGATCATGTTCTTCGCCTGCACAAAGCCTCTTATGGTTCAAAACAGGCGCCAAGAACATGGTACAGCAGAATTGATGAGTTTTCTTGCGAGAAAACTTCAAAAGAAGTGACAATGATCATGCATTGTATACAAAAAAAGATCAAGGGAAAATTTTGGTGGTTTGTATCTCTGTGGATGATCTCATTGTCACTGGAGATGATGAGAGGATGGTAGAAGACTTTAAGAATGCAATGAAGAATGAATTTGAAATGTCTGATCTGGGATTGCTGAATTATTTCTTAGGAATATAGATAGTTCAAAAAGAAGAAAGAAATTTCTATTTCTCAAGAATGTTATGCAAAGAAGCTACTGGGAAGTTCGACATGAAAGAATGCAAGAGTATGAGAATGCCATTAGCTCCTCAAGGCAAGAATCAAAATGAAGAAGAAGAGCTTCTTGTTCCTAAAATCTATAGGAGCCTAGTAGGAGGACTACTGTATCTAATGACCACTCGGCCTGATCTAATGTTCTCAGGATCTTACTTGTCAAGGTATCTGAAAGAACCTAAATTCAAACACTTCAATGAAGCAAAGAGATTTCTCAGATACATAAAAGAGACACTAGACATCGGTTTGATGTTCACTACACACAAGGAGCCAAAACTGATTGGATACTCAGATAGTGATGGGGGATGATACAAAGAAGACTTGAAATCAATGACAAGTTATTGTTTTAGCATCAGATCTGTAGTTTTCTCATGGAAAACAAGCAAACAAGACACCATTTCTCAGTCTACCGCTGAAACAGAGTACATGGCGCTATGTGCAGCAAAAAATCAAGCTGTGTTTTTAAAGAGGTTACTTGAAGATTTCAATTTTATCTCTCAAGAGGGAGTTCCCATCTACTGTGATAATCAGTCTGCCATAGCAATCGGAAAGAATCCAGTTCAACATAGAAGAACGAAGCACATTCAAATCAAGTATCAAATTGTTCGAGAATCAGAAAAATGGAGATATTCAGCTGAAATACTGCAGAGGTGAAGATCAATTGGCTTATATATTCACATAAGTTTTAGGAGGTCAGAGTTATAAAGGACTTCGTGATGAGCTTGGTTTGAGTGACAAAATGGCAAATGAGAGTGTTGAGTAATGCGTATTTTGGTTCTCAAACCAAACTAAAGAAATATATAAATCTAAGCTATTGTCTTTATCAAATGGAGTTGTTGCAACAGTGAGGAAGTGGTTGTTAGTAGTTTGTAAGACTAGAGGTAAGTCTAGTGTTTGTTGCTGTAGGAGTTATTACAATCAGAGAGTAGTTGCACTACTTTCTCTGTACGGATGTAAGGAAAAACGTTTGCAAGAGTATGGTAAAATGAATCAAGTTTGTTGTTGTTAATATCTTTAAAAATTCAAATTACTTTCAAACAAAAGAAATACAAATGAATCAAGAAAAGGATCCTCTGTTTTCTTGAGAAGTCTAACAGTTTGCAATTTACCGATAAACTTTGCGTTTATATCTACTGGAAAACTTCAAAGTTTTTAGTATTATCATTTCCAAAAATTGGATTTATCTTATCTAAGAAAAATACAAATACCTCATCCCGGTCAATGAAAGCTCGGAGAACTTTTGAAAAAAAATTCTCAACGTCAAAGCACTTCAAGTGAATCTTAACTTTGATATAACTGCGATTACTACATTTCGAATTTTTATAATAACAGGATTTTTGATTGTGTTAGGTGTGTTTTTTTAATACATCAAATCTGACATTATTATTTTTTTTATATTATTATTCATTGAAGGATAAAAAAATAAAAAATCTGGTAGGTATTAGATGTAAAATACAAAAAACTAGATATCTTTATTGGTTATTGGTCATGAGAACTATTTGATCTGATAAATAATATAGTGGATATAATGGGAGTCGGAGGAGCAGTCGAGTCTTCTCCATCTGGCAGAAGCCCACCAATAGGTAATGGTGATCTACCAACCCAAGACGACATGGAGTTTGCGCGAGTGTATACAATTCTATATTAAATGTATTCCACGATTTATATTTTTCTAATCTTGTTATGACATATAATTGAATATAATGCAAAAAATCCAGCTCGGATGGTTTTTGATACATCAGAAAATACATTTTACCTTTTGATATCACGTCTAATACATTTCATAATCGTCCAATATTCAGTTCACATCATCTACATCCCAAAAAGCAAGAATATAAATTTCTTTCTTTCAAACAAAGAAAATAATAACTAAAAGTGTATATTGAATTAGTGGACCGATTGTTGGGGTCGGTTTTCACCCCAAGCGGATAAAACCATCTCAAAATGACTAAATATAGAAGAAAGACAAATTGGCCGAGCTGTCCACCAAGCATGGGCCGAGCTGTCCACCAAACATGGGTCGAGCTGTCCTACGAAGTTAGTGGGCCTAGCTGTGCTCACCAAGACAAATGGGAGAGCCGTGGAGAAAGGTGGATGGGCCGAGCCGTGGAGAAAGGTAGAAGGACCGAGCCGTGGAGAAGGTGGGCCGAGCCGTGAGAAGGACGAAGAGTGGGCCGAGCCGTGGGATAGGAAACATGGGCCGAGCCGTTGCCTTTTGCGTTGGGCCGAGCCGCTTTGTCCAGATGGGCCGAGTGGAAGTCTCGAAAGGCGAAAGCCCATGAAAACCCTAGGCAAAACGTTATGGTGGTGGCCGCACGAAGCGATAAGGAAAGATTCCGAAAATCTCTCCCGAGATTCTCAGCTAGGCGGTTTAAGAAGTTAGTATAAATAGGGGATTTCTATGATTCATTATGTAACTTTTGCAACCCTAAGCAATAAGAGCAAAATACTTTCTCAGCAACAAAAACTTTCTTTCGATCTTACTGTTCTTGCGATCAACCCTAGAAGTTTCTGATCCCTTAAGTTTTCCTTAACAAATTTTTGGTTGTGCGAGTTTTGGCTCACACAATTTGGCGCCGTCTGTGGGGAAACGAAACTTTCTTACTCTAAATCGACAAGACTTTAAGATCCGAAGAACATGGCGAGCAACACCCACGATGATAACAACAACAACGGTAACAGCGCGGAGAAGGACGCTCCTGCATCGGGCACAACGACGGCAACGACCGAAACCCAAGTGGAGATGCGAAACATGATAGCTGCGTTGATGAAGAAAATCGACGAACAGGACAAAAGAAACGAGGCGATTACGGAGAGGCTCGACTCGATGGCGGCTGAGCGAATACACCCAACTTGGAGACCCGGAATTTCCGACCCGATGGATGGAATCCGGAGACGCTTCGATTTCTCAACACCTGCAGAAGCCTCAGGGAGCGGCGCAAGAAACCCCTCGGCTCCTCCAATGTTTTGTCCCCTCGACAAACAGACTCCCGCGGCAACCCGAGTCAACATGACCGAGCCGCCTCCACTCCGCCGAAACTCAAGGCGACGAGCCGGCGAGGAAGAGAATGATGCGATCGACGTGGACGCCCAGCAGAACGACGGAACCACGAATCCGCAACAAACCGGCTCGGCTTGGCGAATAAGTCAAGAAGAGCTCGCCTCGGCACTAAACGGCGTTCGAACTGACGAAGTCTCTGATCCGACTCGCGGCGACAACCCAACCGAGGAGGAAGAAAACCTCCAATGGATCGAGCAGGCAGAGCGTGAAGACGAGCCGAGGAGAGAAGAGCGGGAGCGACCCCCTCCCCAATCAAAGGGAATGACTCACGCACAAACTCTCAAACTCAAAGTGCTGCGAGCCTCAATGGCTCGGACAGTAGCAGAAATACGCGCCATGAAGTCCCAAGTGCACAACGCAACAAGCGCCGCGCCCGAAATCGACCGAATGCTTGAAGAAACTCAGAGAACTCCATTCACTGCAAGAATCACGGAGGCCAGGATTCCCGAGCCGGGGAAGGTGAGAATCCCGTTCTACAAAGGAACAACCGACCCGAAAGCACACATCACAGCGTTTCAGATAGCAATGGGACGAGCCTTCACAAAGAACGCCGCCAAACTGACCGAGCGGGAAGTAGATGCCGGATACTGCTTGCTCTTCGTGGAGCATCTTAAGGGGGCTGCACTCGAGTGGTTTTCAAGACAGGAACGCAATTCAATCGGCAGTTTTCAACAGCTCTCCGCCTTGTTCCTTAAACAATACTCAATGTTTATGGACAGAGGAACATCTGATGCCGACCTGTGGACACTATCCCAAGGACCAAACAAACAACTTCGGGATTACATGGCAAGATTCAAGGCAGTCGTGTCCAAAATAGAAGGGATAAATGACAAGACCGCGCTCGAAGCTCTGAAACGATCTTTGTGGTACAAATCTGAGTTCTGACGGGAGATGGCACTCAACACGCCACAAACAATTCAAGACGATTTACACCGGTCATCGGACTTAGTCGTAAACGAGGAGGAAATGAAGAATTTGGACGAGCAGTACGAAGCAACAAAAGCAGCAATCCGAAGCTCAATTTTGCCGCGCCCCGCGAAGAAGGGCAACCCATCGAACAACACAACAACGCAGAGCTCGGACGAACCTAGAAGTGGAGGTGCCCATAACTATCAGGTAGGCAACGGACGCAGAAGAGGAGAACCGCGCAACAACACTTGGGTGAGAAAGTCCGCCAACTACGACGAGAAGGCTTTCTGCGAGTATCACCAGACCTACGGGCACTCAATGGCACAATACCGAACTTTATGAGCAAAACTTGCGGCTAAGATGGCAACGGGAGAGCTCCAAAACGCGGTCAACCTCAAAGACCTCGTCCCTAATGAACCACAAGAAAGAGCCGAGCCGAGCGGCGCGGCTGAACCCGCGAATCCTCCCCGACGAGGCGATAACTCCAAGCGTGACAGGAGAGGCGAACCCGAAGAGCGACCCGAGCCGAGGCAAATGATCAATATGATCATGGATGGATCTCAATACTACCAAGATACCGTGTCCTCCATCAAAGCCTATCAGCGCCGAGCCGAAGCGAAGGAGAATTGGACAGAACCAACCAACATCCCAAATACAGTGATCTCCTTCGCCGAGGAGGAAACGGCAGGAATCGATAGACCCCACAACGATCCGTTGGTAATTGAGTTAACAATCAGGGATCATGACGTAACGAGGGTGCTCATCGATACTGGAAGCTCGGTGAACGTCATCTTCAGGGAGACACTCAGAATGATGGGAATCGACCTCTCCAAAGTGGAAGCAATCCCCAACCTCTAACCGGATTTTCAGGAGAAACGACGATGATCATGGGAACGATCAGGCTCCCCGTGGTAGCTGGCGGAGTCACTAAGATCGTCGAATTCTGCGTCACCGATCACCCGGCAATCTACAATGTGATTATGGGAACTCCATGGATCAACGGGATGAGGGCAGTACCCTCCACCTATCATCTCTGCCTCAAATTCCCAACTCCAGCGGGTGTCAAAACGATCTGGGGGAGTCAGAAGGAGTCACGAATGTGCTGCCTAGCAGAGCACAAGCTAAGGAACACCGTCACGGACGCACGAGCAGACATAGACCGCAAAAAGATGAAGACAGACCGAGAGCCGGCGAACGAGCTCTCGAAACTCTTATAGCAATTACAGATCGCGGTGAGCCGCGCCGAGCCGGTATGTTATGCGGTGGACTCGGTGTGCATAGACGAGGCGCGTCCGGAGTGATTCGTCGAAATTGGAACAAAACTAGAAGAGCCTCTGAGAAGCGAACTCCTTTCACTCCTCAAGGAGAACACCAACACTTTTACCTGGACAGCGGAAGATTAGCCAGGCATAAGCATCAACGTGACCTGTCATGAGCTGAATGTGGACCTGACCTTTAAACCAGTCAAGCAGAAAAGAAGGAAGCTCGGCTCCGAACTAGCTAAAGCAGTTAACGACGAAGTCGAGAGATTACTCGAAGTAGGATATTTCGCCGAGGCCAAATATCCGGACTGGCTTGCGAATCCGGTGGTTGTGAAGAAGAAGAATGGCAAGTGGCGGGTCTGTGTGGATTTCACTGACCTCAACAAGGCGTGCCCAAAAGACAGCTTTCCCTTGCCGCACATCGACCGGCTTGTCGAAGCCACTGCAGGAAATAGATTGTTAACATTTATGGACGCGTTCTCTGGCTACAATCAGATCCTGATGCATCCTGATGATCGGGAAAAAATGGCATTCATAACTGATCGCGGGATATACTGCTACAAAGTCATGCCGTTCGGGCTCAAGAACGCAGGAGCAACATATCAACGGATCGTCAATAAAATATTCGCGGCTCAGCTCGGAAAAACCATGGAAGTATAAATCGACGACATGTTGGTCAAATCACTCAAGGAGGAAGACCACATCGCACATCTACGGGAATGCTTCGAGCGATTGAACAAGCACAACATGAAACTAAACCCGGCGAAGTGCAGATTTGCGGTCACCTCGGGAGAATTCCTCGGCTATCTGGTAACTCACCAAGGCATAGAAGCAAACCCAAGCAGATCAAGGCATTAATTAAGATGCCCTCTCCAAGGATGAAGCGCGAAGTGCGAAGGCTTACAGGAAGAGTCGCCGCGCTAAACAGGTTTATTTCCCGTTTCACAGATAAGTGCTTGTCCTTCTACGACACCCTCCGAGGAAACAAGAAATTCGAGTGGGAGGAGCGATGCGAAGCAGCTTTCCAAGAGTTGAAGAATTATCTAGCAAGCCCACCGATCTTAGCAAAACCAGTCGAAGGAGAGCCGTTCTTCCTCTACATCGCCGTGTTTGCCACAGCTGTGAGCGGAGTGCTTATCGGAGAAAAACGATCCGAGCAAAAACCCATCTTCTCCATCAGCCAGACTCTGACCGATGCCGAGACCCCCTATCTCCAGATCGAGAAGGTCGCCCTAGCCGTCGTAGTCTCGGCTCGCAAACTGCGCTCGTATTTTCAATCACATTCGATTGTTGTGCTCGCTACACTTCCGCTGCGCTCGATCCTACACAGCCCGAGCCAATCCGGTCGGCTCGCCAAGTGGGCCATAGAGCTGAGCGAATACGACATCGAGTATCGGAACAGGTCGTCTGCAAAGTCACAGGTGCTCGCAGATTTTCTCATTGAACTTCAAGCTGAAGCAACAAACGAGCCGACCCTAGATGAAGTATGGACGCTGCACGTCGACGGCTCGTCATCTAAACATGGCTCAGGAATAGGGATCCGCCTCACCTCTCCCACAGGAGAAATACTGGAGCAGTCGTTTCGCCTTAACTTCCATGCCTCGAACAACGAAGCAGAATACGAAGCACTGATCGCCGGTATACGACTAGCGCAGGAAATCGGGGTTCGAAAGATAAGGACCTTTTGTGATTCACAGCTCGTAGCATACCAGTTCAACGGAGAATATGAGGCGAAGGACGGACGAATGGGAGCTTACCTCAAGGTGGTCCGTGAGTTGGTACAAAAGTTCGACGAGTTCGAACTCACGCGAATTCCCCGAGGAGAAAACACCTCGGCCGACGCCTTGGCAGCACTCGCTTCGACCTCAGACCCAGATCTCCGACGGACGATCCCAGTCAAATTCATCGAACGACCTAACATCGAAGAGGTAGAAGGAGTTCGGCTGATAAATCCTCATGAACAAGAACCAGAGGACGACGAAGCCATTCCTATGGACGAAGACGCCTTACCAGCCGAGCCAGAGTACGGCTGCGACAAAGAATGGCTCGGAGTTATCCGAGTGTATATCGCCGATGGAGAGGTGCCAACCGACAAATGGGAAGCCCGCAAATTAAAAGCTCAGGCCGCGCGGTATGTCCTCGTCGATGGCGAGGTGTTTAAATGGAGATTTTTAGGACCTCTCATGACATGCGTAGAAGGACCGGAAGCAAGAAAGATCATGCACGAAGTGCACAGCGGCGCGTGCGAGAACCATTCTAGCGGAAGGTGGCTCGCTATCAAGATAAAACAGCACGGTTACTTCTGGCCTACGATGGTCAAGGACTGCGAAAAATTTACGGCGATGTGCGAGAAGTGTCAACGACACGCTCCAACAATTCATCAACCTACCGAGCTGCTCTCGTCAATTTCGTCACCTTATCCGTTCATGAGATGGTCGATGGACATCGTCGAACCTCTACATCGCTCGAAGCAGAAGCGTTTTCTGCTCGTCCTCACGGATTACTTCTCCAAGTGGGTCGAGGCCGATTCTTACGCAAGCATAAAGGATGTTCAAGTCGAACACTTCGTCTGGAAGAATATCATCTGCAGACACGGGGTCCCCTACGAGATAGTCACCGACAACGGATCCCAGTTCATCTCAACACGCTTTGAAGCCTTATGCGAGAAGTGAAAAATCCGTCTAAGCAAATCTACGCCAAGATACCCTCAAGGGAACGGGCAAGCCAAAGCGGCCAACAAGACGATCCTCGACGGTCTGAAAAAGAGGCTCGACGCCAAGAAAGGACGATGGGCAGACGAACTCGAAGGAGTCCTTTGGTCTCATCGGACGACTCCACGCCGAGCCACCGGGAAAACTCCATTCGCCTTAGTCTACGGAACAGAGTGCGTAATTCCCCCCGAGGTGGATTTCCCAGGTATTCGACGAAGACTTCTACCAGAACATGAGGGCTTGAACCACTTAATGTTGCTAGATGAGCTCGATCTAATCAACGAAAAGCGCGACCAAGCTTTAATCCGAATCTAGAACTATCAACAAGCAACGGCGAGATACTGCAACGAAAACGTTCGTAGTCGAAGATTCAAAGAAGGGGAGCTCGTCCTCCGAAAGGTCTTCCAAAACACTGCCGAGAAGAACGCAGGAAAGCTCGGCGCAAATTGGGAAGATCCTTACAAGGTTACAAAAGTGGTTCGTCCAGGAGTCTACGAACTCGCGACGCTAGCTGACGAAGCGATTTCAAGATCATGGAACACAATGCATCTAAAGAAGTATTATCACTAAAGCTACAGCATGGTCAGCATGAACTACAGGACGGCTTGATCCCTGCAAAGGGTACGTAGGCAGCCCGTCTTCGGACGGGTTCAGCTGTCCCCCTCCTAAAAAGGGGGGGGGAGTGGGTACGTATACACATACCTTCTTTAACCCTACAATTTTAGCTCGCCCACTTAGGAACATCGCCACTTCGGCCCATTTTCAGTTCGTTTTTTCATCTACTTATTTCATGTTCACCTCGGATTTCTAGTTCGTTCATTATCGCTTCGGCTAGTTTCTCATTCTTTTTAAATCAGCAACTTATGTTATATTTCGTCTCGGATTTTTAAATTCTTTCACTCATCAATTCGGCGAGTAATCATACCACTTCGACATGATATCATGACCTGATTGCCTCGGACCTTTATTGGTCCTCAGTTTCAGGTCGGCAAACTAAGCCTCCGAACGCCTCGTCTCGTTGCTGGCCACAACGGGGCAAAAAATACAAAGTTCTCTAAACGGACTTTTACCACCTTTCCTAGGACGAGGGTGCAAGTTACATCCGCTATGGATAAAAATTAAAGCGCGCTATACAAATATCAGACCAAAAACATATCGGTCGCCACAGTTCGCTATCGCACACGAGATTATAAGTCGAGACTAAATAATCGAAGTGAACTCTTAGAACCCGGTAAAACACACTCATCCTCTCGGAAACGCCGTTCTATAGTCAAATTCAACGAGACTACCAAATCATCCTTGGTTAACAAAAACAAAACGTCTCGTCGTTTACACGGCTCGACACCATGCAAAGAGAAAACGCCTCGTCGTTAAACACGGCTCGGCATTGCCAGCAAAAGTTGCCTTGATATTATCATTTAAAACTTTCCAGCGTCACCTAAAACAAAAGATACTCCACAAAACTAACTCCCAGCTTGGGATTTAGAACCCAAACGAGATCCTTAACAACTCACCCCTTAGCCCGTATTTCTATCGATTTCGAACAAACTCGGCTAAAGAAGCAATCAAAATCATTCTCGACACAACAGTTATCATCCTTGACAACTTTCTCTAAGCCAACAGTTTTCATAGATATTTTCGCAGATCGTCAAAGATAAGTGCACGGCCAAGGAAAAGAAAATATATCCATAAGCAAAAATAAGAGTCAAGTGGATAAAGCCATCCAGGCATCGGTTACATAAACAGTTCAAAAAGTAAATCATCAAAAAACCTAAGTACAAAAAAACATATGCGACGAAGGGTGAGGGAAAGCGGAGAGTATCAGGCCGCGGACTGCGTCTCGCGCTTGGCAAGGAGGTTCGAGAGGGCCGGTGTCCCCGCATTCGATCCGGTCGGATCAACGACACCCAGGTTGGCCGCTATCTCTTCGAGCAGCTCGTTGCCAATTCTGGTGTCTGCCGAGTCCGGCGATACGGGAGAGAAAAGCAGCTCGCCTCGAATCTCGGAGGCAATACGCTCGTACGCCTCATCGTCGACGTACTCGCTCTCCCAGCTCTTCAGCTTCGCCTCCTCGTCGTCAAGCGTTGGGGCGTCCGGTTTCTTCAGGTCAGCGATCATCGCAAGGTTGCCCTTGATTTGCCCCAGCTCGTTCTCGTTGGTTTTGGCCTTCTCGAGCTTGACCAGTCCCTCCTCCACTTTAGCGAGGCATTCCTGAAACTTAGCAGTCAGCTCTCGCCTCGCCTCCTTTTTCGCGCGCTTGACCTTGGTGTCGAACAGGACATCCTTGGTCTCGATACGCCTTTTGAGCAACGCCACCTCGGCGCTTTTGGCTCTCCTAGCCTCCTCCAGGCAAATCACCGAGGCGGAGACCTTGTCAACGTCGGCGCGGAGAACTATCTTCTCCTCTTCCAGCCTCGACACTCTGGACATCGCTTCGTCCAGCTTCCCCTTTGTCGCCGCGGTCTCGTCCAAGCGGCGTTCGACCTTAGACAGGTCCGCCTTATATTCAGCCATCAGCTCGTTGATGGCCACTACAAACTGCAAAGAACAACACGCGTTAAACACTTAGTAAAAATTCGCGAAAATAAAGGAAAGTAAATAGAACATACCTTGGTATCGCGCTGTGCCATCGCGCCGTACGACCTCGGCCTCCTCAGCTTCTCCGGAGGAGGAAGACGTATGTTCGCGTTATTAACACGCACGAACATCACGGCAGAGGCGTTGGGGTCGTCGACGACCAATTTGCGCGCAGCGGGGTCTCTGGGCGTCGGCTTCCGCCTCTTCTTGGACGGCTCGTCCTTTTGAACAGCAACGCCTTTCCCCTTGTCAGCGGCCGAACGTTTTCGGCTGGCGTCATGTTTCTGTACAACCGAAGTCAGTGGCCTCGCTGACTTCGGGAGGGCCAGAATGGCGGAGTTCGAAGGAGTTTTACTCCGCGCCGCTGAGTCATCCATGGACGCCTCGGGAATAATTTCGCCCGGTTCCACCTCGGTCGCTGCATCTTTCTCAGCCGCCTCGGCAGTGTTTGCCTCCGTGGCTCGGACCGTTTCGTCTCCTTCCCGGCTCGGCGGATCGGGCTGAGGGATGGCCTCGGTCTGCGCTTGAGCCGCTTCGGCAGCTCGTCTCGCAGCTTCTTCTTCTTCACGCCTCTTCCTATCTCTGAGAGTGATTATCACCATCATCTCTCGAGTATCTCTTGAAGAGCTGGAGGATGACGAACTGACAGGGACTCCGGCGAGGATAGCTCGGGCTTTTTCTACTCTCTCGAGGGTGAAATTTTTCCTCCAATTGACCTTCCGAGCCGAAAGAGAGTCTCGAACAATAAAGAGGTCGTCGGGAATCAGGGGAAGAATGTTCCGAACTGCAATACAACGCAAAAAGGGAAAAGATTCAGTAAAGGAAGATAATGCAAAAAAAAAAGCAGTTCCGAGCCGAGGCAAAGCTTTGGGTCGGCTACCAAGTGGTCCCCAGGTGGTCTTGGTTCTTTGAACGTAATCCTCACTGACCGACGCCTCGCTCACCAAGACGTAGAAGAAGCGTTCAGTCCAAAACTGATCTTTGCTTGGAAAACCGCCTATAATCCGGCGGTTGGACTTGTTGGAAATATAAAATCTATCTCCCTTCGGAGTTTTCCTGATTTCCAGCAAGTTCAGCAGGTTATTCAGCTCGATATCGAGCCCGCACTCAAAGCTTCGAACTAAAATGCCGATCATATGCCGCAGTCCCCTCGGCATGATCTGCCCAATCGAGATCCCATGTTTCTAGAGGTATTCAAGGATAACTCCAGGGATTGGGAACCAGAGAAAGCAGAGCTCGAAGAACGCTTCGTACAGAGTGAAGTGATTCTCGGGAGGCTTGTCGGCTCGGTCGTTCTTCTCTGGAACGATAAACTCCACCGCCTCGGATATCCTGAAGCGACGCCTCAACGCCTCGAGTGAGTCAGGGGAGGAGAGCGTAGAACCGGGTGGGTCAGGTTTTTGTCTTTTTACTCGTTGCCCTCGCCCAGATGAAGAAGCGCCTCGGGACGCCATGAGACGTTCTAATTCACGCTTCGCCACGAGTAAATCAAAGGGAAATGACTCCTCCTCGGCTTTGACTGCGGCACAGTTAATATCTTGGTCAGGAGCGGGATCCTGGGGACGGCTCGTCGAAACCGACTACTCGTCATCTGGAGAGCCGACGTCTGGCGGATTTGTATGATTCGACGCCTCGTCACTCCCAGATGAACGATTGGGAGGGCTCGACGAGGCAGACGCCTCGGAAGATTCTGTTGTACTTCTCGCCTCGGCATCTACGCGGCTCGGCTCATAATGAAAAAGCGAATCCAGCGAATCGTCGGAGCGGCTAGACATAATTTACAACTTATACAGGAATTACAGCACGACGCGGCGAACCTCCGCCGAAAAAAGATCTGGAACGGCGGAGACCTCGGAACCCTAGCCGGAAAATAAATAAACTAGAGAGAGAAAGAAGAGAGAAGGGAGAGCTACCTTTTAGTGAAAACGAGTGGATCTGAAGATTATGAGAAGGAACGAAGGAGCTCACCTATTTATAGAAAAACCAAAGCGCGTGAGTTCCGTGTGAACCTCGGCGCGTGGGATCCGCGGTGAACTTGCTAGCTCGAACTGCGTCGGTTGCACGCGCCAATAGATCAGGAACTTTCTTTTGGAAGACCAACGGTTGGGATACCCGAGTTTTCAGCCGATATCTTACCATTGTAAACGCCTCGTCGTTAACGCAACGGCTCGGCATTAACTTTCTCTTGAAACGCCTCGTCGTTAACGGCTCGGCATTAACTTTCTCTTGAAACGCCTTGTCGTTAACGGCATTGACTTTGTCTTGAAACGCCTCGTCGTTAACGATTCGGCTTGGTATTAACTTTCTCTTGAAACGCCTCGTCGTTAACGAAACGGCTCGGCATAACTTTTTCAAAACGCCTCGTCGTTAAACTCGAATCACGGCTCGGCAATACTAAACAGAATCGCCTCGTCCTTAACTTGCCTCGGCTTCGTTATTGACAAAACACCTCACCTGGGCCTATGTCGCAACAGCTTGACTCGATGGTTTATCCTACGGTCAGGAGTAATGGACCTCGTCACTCTCGCCTCCAAAACTGACGAGCTGGGGGGCTAACTGTTGGGGTCGGTTTTCACCCCAAGCGATAAGGAAAGATTCCGAAAATCTCTCCCGAGATTCTCAGCTAGGCGGTTAAGAAGTTAGTATAAATAGGGGATTTCTATGATTCATTATGTAACTTTTGCAACCCTAAGCAATAAGAGCAAAATACTTTCTCAGCAACAAAAACTTTCTTTCGATCTTACTGTTCTTGCGATCAACCCTAGAAGTTTTGGATCCCTTAAGTTTTCCTTAACAAATTTTTGGTTGTGCGAGTTTTAGCTCACACACCGATATATGTTCAGAATTTTTTAAAAAAATAATCAAGTATATCAATAAAAAGAGAATAGTTTCTGTTTTTTATGTAGATGAAATCTGGATACAATAAACAAAAGTATATCAATAAAAAGATGTTTTTTAATGTAGATGAAATCTGAACATATTAAAGAAAATTAAAGTTAATATGAAGAAATGAAAAAAAAAAGAATCTGCTGATACTAAAACAGCTGAACTATAAAACTCGTTTAAAAAACAGTTGAACAAAAAACAGATTACTATTAGAAGACCTTCCAAAATATTGATCCTAGTCCATGGATTTCATTCTCAAACTCGTTTCATGTATAATATCATTATGTTTAGTTCAATTCAGAGACTCTATAAAAGTTTCAAAATCTATCAAGATAAATTAGAAAGAAGTTGTTATTTTTGGTAAAAGCCTTGATATGTTCGACGGTAATACTATATATGCATTACTTATGTTGATTATTTTGTAATTAACTTATGATATCTTTCTCCTATATATGTTTTCCATATATTTGAATGAGAAGATGATATACGATTGTGTGGATCTATACAAACAACGTTCATTAAATCATCCATTACTCCAAAACCACAAAATTCATGTACTTTTTTTCATCAAACTTTCTCACATACAAATTATATTTGTCAACCTCATGTTCATATAAAACTTAATTGTAGCTTTTGGTAAGGCTAATATGATTTAATCCCTAACTTAATCTATAAATGGTGTGACAATATGGTTTATGTAGATGAAACCATTTTTTTCAATTCATAAATCAAAAGAACAAGTTAAAAACAAAATTTATAAAAAGATAATCGATTGTCCGAATGATACAGTTCCTATACTGAGGAACACAAAAGAGTATGTAGCAAAAAATCAATATTTCGCAAAAAATATTTCAATCCGTTCACAGTTGAAAATCATGGGACACATATAAGTGCACAATTGTATTCTCATTATTCTACTTTCAGTTACTTGTGTTATGAATATGTATATCACAATGATTTGAAGTTTTCAGTTTGCAGGAGTTAGATTGCATCATGGTCCTTACTATGGTATATCATCTTGGATAAGTGTATATAACTTGAATATTAGTGGTGACTAAGCTTCACATGCTCACATATATGTTGGCAGAAGAGTTAACAATAAAGATAATGTTATACAAGTCGGGTGGATGGTAAATTTAATATGTTTATGAAATTTTCTAAAAAAAAAGTCTTTATTATATTAAATGGTTAAAAAAAATTAAATATTTAAATTTGACTCACAGGTAAATCCAAGTATATTTGGTGATGGACGGACATGCATGAGGTTATGGATTTTAGAAGGTACAACTATTGCTACATTAGTTCAATATTTACCACCTTCTTAATACAAATCAAATTCAAAATCTACTCTAAGACCATCTTAATTGTGTTAATGAGCATGTTATATGTAATATGTTTTGAATCTACGTAATTACAAAACTAAATATCCCTACCTAATGTACATATACTTTATATTGTATTTCTACTCCTTTGATCTAAAATGTACATATACTTTCAAACTATTTTTTATCACATGGATAATGGATTATACTAATGCATGGATATGATTAATTAATGACAGGGTGCAAATGGAGAAAGCTGTTATACTACAATATGTCCTGGTTTTATTCAAGCGTCTAAAACAGATCTTTTAACTGAAACTTTACGTCAAGCTCCTGCAGAACTAAGAAACATTGCTCTTACTATTCAGAAAGTAACCCACACTCTATTTGATTATAAATTATGCGTTTTATAATTTTAGATTTTCATATAATCCTTAATCGAAAAACAATGTTTGAGAACTTTTATTTCTTATATTAGTATATTAAATTGTTTAATTTTAAATTATAATTTCATATGATGTCCTATATAATAGATATTAATTGGGATTTCATTTTTTATAGAGCTTAATTTATATTTCATGAATCAAGTCTAACATATTTTGTGTAACAAGTTGTCATGTTAAAATATAATCAAAGATAAAGATTTAAAGAAAGATGATGATGGATCAAATACACTTTTATATATACTAAATACTTTTTTGTTTGTTTTTTTTTTAGATATCTTAATTCTACCAAGATTTTTTGATTGTCTTAGGTGTTTTTTTAATATATAAAATGTAACATGTGTATTTTTTTTATTATTCATTAAAGGATCAAAAATAAAAAAAACTTGTGGGTATTAGATGTAAATTACAAAAAACCAGATATCCCTATTGGTTATTGGCCAGAAAAACTATTTGATCTGATAGATAATTGAGTGGACATAATGGGAGTCTGAGGAGCAGTTGAGTCTTCTCCGTCTGGCAGAAGCCCACCAATGGGTAATGGTCATCTACCAACCCAAGACGACATGGAGTCTGTGCGAGTTTTAACAATTCTTTATCTAGATCATCCCATTGTGAAAGCAATGAAAGAAGTTGATAAATCATCTAAGTTGGAGAAATTATTAGACACTGAAAAATGTTATGGACTAAAACGGGGGAAAAAGCTGTTTACGTTTGGTGAACCAGAATGAGATTCTTGCAGAATATAAACATTATGAAATAATTAAAAAAATTATGTCTTTGATTATCATAATAAAAAGTTATTAGACTCATGGTATATTACTATATGAGGGGGGGGTCCAGTGCCGTGTCTAAAATTTTAGAGGCCTTAGGCTAATTTAAAATGTGGCCCTTTTAATGAAGTTATATAAAAAATCACTAATCAAATGTACACTAGTATTAAGATAAATTGGTGAAAAATGTTTATACTTTTATGGTGTAAGGATTGAAATTGAACAAAATAAACATATGCACCAGAAAAATAACCAAAGAAACTATAATGCACTTGTAAATGTGGTATCTAAACTTAATATATAAGATGTGGCCTTAGTCAATTGGCTTTTTTATTCCATTGTAGGCACGGCTCTGAGGTCAATTGAAATCAACAGTTTTATTAAAAAAATAATAATTATTTATTATGTATATTGAATTGACTCAATCTCAAACAAAATAATTGACTATTATCAAAGTTTAAAATCAAGTGTAGTCTTTTTTTTTCAACAAAATCAAGTGTAGTCTAATAAATGAATGAAACACTAGAAAATGTTAACTCGATAAATCTCATCACACATGGAAGATAAAAATAAGCTCATTAACGTAAACTAAACATAATCATTTTTATTCATTACTCATTAGTTTACTTTTTCATCTTCTTGCTTCCTAGTTTTTTTTTCCAATCACCTGTAGAATATTTAAATCAAGTTAGAATTAACTTCTAGAAAATTATATCCTTTTTAGTTTATAATACTATTACTATTTATAAACTTGAATTTTCACTAATTGGTTTCAGTTTGAATAAAATAAAAAATCTTTTATTTTGCTGTGGATTTAGTTTTCATACCATCTTCCTTTTTGTTATGTGTATTATCATTTCGTTGATGCATTGGTAAGTAATTGTCTGCTTTATTTTATCTAAAAAATAGAAACTTCACTCTATGATGAAAATAAACGGTGATAGAATGATTTTAAATATGAGTGATCGTAAAACATATTTGTTGTCATGTGTAAAATACTTCTTTAAAATTTATCTTTTGTGATATTATA